ATATACATGCTTTTTCATGTCGGTATTATATCAATACACTATTTTATTGTACCACATCCAATAAGTTGATTCTAATTGAATTGAGTCTCTCCCCTTTGACACTTCTTATAGAAATGACAACTGTCAAAAAAGAGTTCACTTTGGTAGCGGTAACGGTCTTTTCTTGTGCTCTGCAAAATGACAAGGAAAGGTGGCATCCAGCGGAAAAAAATCCCTGCGGGTACTTAGCAAACCTGAACATTCTGTTGTGCTGGATACACCCAGTGCATCAAAAACCCAACATTTTTGCTAACAATATATTGTAGCCAATCTTCTTTGTTTAAAAAGAAACGCAATGCAATATCTCCTTATTGAAATAACACATGGAATGACAAAAGACGGTTGTAAACGGTCTACTAGACAATCATATTGCATATATGCTATGATCCAAGGTATTGGGGTGACTGCCCATTTTTTATTTATTCATCATTATTTTTAGGGAATTTACCGTTGAATTGTTTCAACGGTCATCTGCTAGTGTAAATTAAATCATTCTGTACTAACTGTCTTGCGAACGTCTTATAACAACGGCTGCATAACATAAGTATTTTAATACTCTGACGTATTTTCAAATAACACAGAGCTGTATGTATAACAGTCAAGTGATTTATCAGTATGTTTACTTTAATATATTACTTTAATACACTTTATACCATTATATCTGAATGGTAAATCTGATCCCCAAAAAGTAAACGCTATGCTTTTAAACAACACATCAAGACTCTTTTGAAATCTAACATTCATTCAATTAAGTGCATGTAATTTAAACTTAGTTTTAGTTTTAATAATAGCTAAATAATTAATTTTTTATATAAATCTGATGGTACGGAAATTACATGCCTAGATTTGTTACTTATTAAGCAATATCTATTTTGATTTTTTAAATTTCATTTCTAATATGTATAATTATTTATGTCACTATTAATTCATTATTCACTGTCTATTACTTAATATACAGATGATTTTGTCGGGAAGAAGCTTGTGATGTTTAATTACTACAATTTTCATCTTGCTCTGTTGCGAGCTGAGAGATGTTAAGTATATTTTTACCAAAGCTACTCAAGGGCCAAAATGAGCTAGCCGTCTCTAGTTTTGAAGTGATAGACTAGAGGGAGAGCAAGCTACTCAACACTATCCACTGTCAACTATTGGGCTGTTACTATTTAACTAAATAGTGCGAGTTGACCGCCACCCTTATAATGCACCTTATGGCAGAACTGGAGATTTTGGAGCTGGCCAGCTGGGTTTGAATCCATGCGATACCACAAAATATTTCCCACATTTTGAGCTGTGGATGCATTATCAGAGTAACAATCAATCCCTTAGTGTGGAATATGGGGTAGTAGGATGATCTGGCTGCTTTCCGTCTGGTCAGTAGTTCAAAACTAGGTACAGCGGAGATAGCCTTAAAAGCTTTGTCATAAATACAAAATGAAATGTTATTTAATCAAAATTATCTGTATCATACACTAGACATTAATTTTGCAACGCCTATTTGTGGATATTGAAGAGCAGAAAAACCGTCACAATTTAATAGCATATTTGTATTTTTCTTAGGTTTGTTTCCTGTATCTACCCCTCCCTAATAAAAATGAGCTTTTAATTAATCCAAAAGTTTGAAGTTTCACTAGTCAAAGTAAAACTTTTTTTTTTGTTTGATCTGAACGGAATTTCAATAATTTTTACCGTTCTTCTAATGAGTGCTAAAAAGGTCCAATTTTATAAAGCAGAATATAGTTAATTTGCTAAATTAAAAACACATTATCCATAAACCATTTATACGGTAAACAGAAATAATATATAAAATTTTATATTAACACCGTTAGATGAAGCCATTTCTTATGGGCCTAAGCACAAATGCATGTTCACTTGCTTGTTTTCAAGAATAAAATTGAACACTTTGAAGTTTGAAATATATTTATCAATTGTAATAGTGGGTTTGCGAATGTGGCCCTTTCCCGGAAAACCCCTATAAAATTTATGCTTAGAAAAAAAAATGATGATAATAAAAAAAATGGAAATAGAAAAATTATAGATAATTTTGTATTTGAATTCAATGAAAAATTGAATTGGACCACAATTAAAATTATTAGGAGAAATGAGAATCATTTCGCTGATTTAATTTTTTATTAATTCAAATACAAGATCAAATTTTTATTTTTAGGGTTTTTTTTACTTATATATTTTAAAAAGATAGGAGCTTCTTTCTTAGTATTTGGCTATCAAGACACCAGATGTAGATGAACATGAACGATACTTTTACTCTAGAGAAAATAACATATACATATATATATATAAAACCATTCATGTTTCTTTTGAGACCCTACAACAGACAGATGATATCTGTCGGAAAATACAATTTTTCATCTTGATCTGTTGCGAGATGAGAAATGTTAAGTATATATTTTTTCAAAGCTACTTAAGGGCCAAATGAACTAGCCGTCCCTAATTTTGAAGTGATAGACTTGAGGGTGAGCAGCTACTCAACACCATCCACTGTCAATTATTGGGCTGTTATTGTTTAACCAAATGGTAGGAGTTGACCGTCACTCTTATAACGCATTCTTATGGCAGAACTGGATATTTTGGAGCTGGAAAGCTGGGTTTGAATCCATGCATTACATTTCTAATAAATATTGAGTATAAGGTAAGTGTATGAGACGTTTTGGTGAACTGTATCATTGAATAAAATTAATAATTCCCTTCCAGATTCGTTAAAATATTGGTCATGAGTTATGAATAATTCCATAGAGAAGGTTCAAGTCTTTTATTGATAAGCAAGAAAAAATCTTGGGTGTTTTTAGAGTAAATGGCGTTAAAAGAATGCAAATATTTATGTAGTATATAAGTTTTGACTAAACTTCAACTCTTACTTTTGAAGGTGGTGGCGAAAGAATGCCGAAACATTTAGATTAATTTTAGGACAGGTTCCTTTTTTAACGAGTTATTTATTGTGTAATTATTTTATCTTTGTATTTCTTTTAATTGTATATATGTATATTGTACAAGTATCGTTTTAAATTATATTTACAAAACCTCTCATTTTTCGAACCTACAGATGACACGAAAAACTTGGTGTTTGATCTGACACGAGTGTAAAATGCACGGATTTGAATATAAATTTTGTTGATCTTTTGGTTTCCAAAACAATACTGTAAATAAACTTATGCATTTACCAATCATAGCACATTTGTTCAAGCTGTAAATGACTAACTAATAGCATTTTGCTACTTAAAACTTAAACTTTTCTTTCACAATTGTTCATAGTTGCCACGGGATGGACTTGTCATGTGAAGCTAACAGCCTTTCTTGATAATAGAAAGTAGTTAATCTTCTAGTTCAGATTAAGTAACAGAACATATAAATAAATTTGTATTGTTCATTTTGCAATCTTGAAAACTAAAAATTATTTAGACGAGAAGTGACTGAGACTTTACTTCATGAAATATTTCTGTCATAATGCACCAGATTTCTCTCATTAAACTATTGCGTCGTCTTTCAAACCTGTTTTTATGAGAAACAACTTTGACAGGCAATAACATATTTGTTAGCTATTTACACGACAACCTATAAAATTGCTTACTAATTCCTTATTCACATCACGTTATGAAAAGTAAAATAAACTGAATACTTAATTTTTATGTAGTCAAATAAATATATCTTTTAAAAAGGTTCTCGCATCATTATTGTTGTTTACGCAATATGAGACAATTTCATTTTCTATAGTTTCTTCAGCTAGGTATTCTTTTTTGTAACAACAAAACAAACAAACAAAAAAAAAGAATTCAATAAAATCTCTTCAGCCAGACAGCTGATTTAATTGTCTGAGCAATCGAAGTGATGACATTCGAAACACCCAGGGTACATCTGTTTGTCTGACTATAGATTTATTTAACTACATAAATATGTTTTGACATGTTGACAACCTTTTCATTTATGTTAGCCATGTGTTGAATAACAAATAGAAAGCTGATTTAAATGTCTTTAAAAAAAGTACTGAGACATAATTCGATATAATTTATTCTGAATCGAGCGATGTTTCAGAGATCTAGCCAAGCGTTACTAACTTAAATTCAAAATACACCTTAAAGATTCCATGCAAATTTTGTAAGTCTGTAAGTCATATTTTGAAAACTAAAAATATTTCAATCTTTTTCGAAACGTAATGTCTTTGCAGGCATAATGCCAAAGAAGGTATCCCTTTTCACTAGTTAAGTAAACAGAAACTTTATGAAAGCTTATTTTGAAATGTGAGATTATATTTGTGTCTGAATAAGTTGTTTCACTTTCGTATTACCATGCTGTATAAAACAGTATTAATTGAAGTACGATTTCAAGCAATGGAAATACTATACTATTGTTGAAGATATTATTTGAAAATAATAAACTAACGTTTTGGTGAACTTTATAATTGAATAAAATTAACAATTCCCGTCCAGATTTGTTAAAATATTGGTCATGAGGTATGAATATTTCCATAGAGAAGGTTCAAATCTTTTATTGATAAGCAAGAAAAATCTTGAATGATTCATGTAAACCTGCAAACCTTCTTAAGATTTTCACTTGAGTGGGGTCCTCTAAAACCAGATATGTTCTAAAAACTAAAAACTTATGGTGTACTTGGAAACAAATGTTTTTTACTGAAAAATTCCAAATAAAATACTTCTTAGTAATAGTATTTAACGCATACAAGTAGAAAAATGTTATAAGTAACATTCTAACCTATCTTTCAGTGGACAGAGACAACCCTTGGTGCTGTGACGTCAACACATTTGGGCCTGTGATCAGAAACGTCAACGTTTAGAACGACGCACCTGTCACGTGGCAATGTCTACCGAGCGCCAGCCTAACCAAACTGTTGTTTTTAGTTTGTGGCGGTTTATAGTTCATCTCTACCAGTGGTGCAAGTTTGAACAGCGTGAGGTAAATTTCTCATCCAGACATGGCTAGCATATCATATCACAAACACAACTCTGTTTAAAGATAGTACTTCCATAGCAATATCTGGCGAGAGAAAAAATTTCCACGAAGCAAAAGCTTGCAACTCTGAACTTGAATGCAAAGTCAAGAAGCGAAATACCAGGTAAGTAAGTGGAACTGAAAGGCACAGCATACGATTCGGTAAAGATCGGTTTATAGTAGTAAACTTTTACTAAAGTTTTAGTCTGTAAGGTTTCAGTTTTGTTTTAATCAAGTCTTACATACTACTATAAAAATATTTGTCGATATCAAAATAACCGAACTACCTGAATTACTTGAAAGGAAGATTCATCTAATATAAGACACAGACTTACAGAGTAATTAGATTAACTACGAACAGCAATGAAGAACGTTGTTTAACACAGTATTAGTCAAAATACAAAACATAAATTACTATAAATAGTTACACGTAAAAAACAAACAACTTATTTTGAAGATACCTTTATCCATTAACAAAATTCTCCTGCGTAGGCTTAAGGGCTAGTTTATTTATATATTTACGACAATGATTTCAACCATAGAGATCCTAAACCTATTATAAAATATGGTATTAATCATAAACCTGTTTAGTTTGTAATTTTTCCCACTTTATCTATCGAAAGCTTGGTGTTTCAATAGAATCTCAGCTTTTATTATAATACCTTTCATTTAGTTAACTTTAGAATACTACTTTATGACTATTTTACAATAGAGTAACAGTTTACGATTGGAAATTCTGGTTCAATTTGTTTTGTCAATGAGGAAGCCAGTAATGTAGGAATTTTATTATCCATATCAAGTCGAGAGAGCTTAGTCTGCTATGTTATCATTAGCCGGATCAAGTAATATGTCCACTTCTGTCCCTATCTTGTTTGGTTCCTTTTTCAAGTTCAGTAGCCAGCCATACATAGCTTTTTATTTAGCGATAATGTTTTTCCTAATACTTATTTGTTTACTTTTTATGCGTACGAGGGTTACTAAGTTATAGAGTGTATTCTGAAGCTTTAGAGATAGAGCGAATATGCCAGGTAGCTTTTTATAGTTAATTTCTGATGACCTGTAGAGAAACAAATCCAGATAACTTTTGTAGTGCTTTAATACAGGCATCAGTGCCATCCCTACATAGAGAGTAATAGTGCATTCTCCGATATTGTTGTTATTGGTGTCTATTTGCAGAACGAGTAATATAGTTTACAGAGTTCCAAAAACCCAGTACTCGAGGTCGATAGTTTAGTTTTTATATGACATTTTAAATTTATCTTTTATTTTATAAATATCTTGCTACAATGTAATTACAGCTGTGTTTTTTTTACCTCGTTTTCGGAAAACTGGTCCAGTAGGAGTATTAACATTCTCATTTTTAGTGCTGATAGAAAAAAAAAGGAATAATAAAATATTGGACACTGTTTTAATTAATGTTTTCCCATTATTACCGAATATAAAAGGAAACTCAAAGACGACAAGTATAAGAATTTACATTCTGGTGGATATTTCATGATGGCAAGAAGAGAAAAATACTAATATAATGAAATATGAAATGATTCTTATTCATTAATATGTATATGTAAAATACTATCAGTTGCATCGTGGTATGTAAGGACATGTTATCTTGATTAATAGTATTCTGGAGTCTACCAGTAAAAATGCATTAGTTGTATTTAAAATATACGATTAAACATATATTACTCTATCAAGAAGATATATTAATGATGTTATTTACAGTAGCAAGCATAGCGAATATTTTGGTTGAACATTATAAATATTTCATGAGTAGTTTCAGTAGCACATATTCACGTGTCTTGCTTTCTTTCTAATTATTGGGATGTTTGATAATATTTGATGTATATAATGTATAATCTTGCAAACTGTGAATATACATAAAAGTCATCTCTTCTCGGAAAGATAGCTCAACTAAGGTAACAAAATTTACATTTTAGATAGAATGATAATTTAAATCACGATATTTCATAGCAGGGTGTGCCTGAGGTGAGAAGGTTTTATACTCAGATGCGTGTGAAATGATCGAACAGTGACGTTTGCTCAAATTTAGTTACTGATTTCTACATTATTTTCTTAACTAGACTGAAGTCCTCACAAAAATTTTTAGGTTTTATGGATTTTCTACAATATTTTTCAATAATGATTTAAGGTTCGAAGTAGCTCGTTGACGTCTAGGCAACGGTAAAATATATTAATATGCACGAGAATGTTATTTTTTAAATAAAAAGTTTATTACTATTCCCACAACTTTAGTTTCCTAGCAATAAAAAATTGCATTGACATGCTACCACAAGCATTAATCGGGTCTTGATGAAATAACTTATTATATAAAATAAATACAACTATACATAAATAATGGACTTGATTTGATAGGTTCTTCAATAATTGCATATTTACTTAAGCGTAACTATTTGTTTGTTTGTAATTAAGCACAGTGGGCTATTTGTGCTTTGCTCACCACGGGTATCAAAACCCGGTTCTAGAGTTTTAAGTCCGCAGACATACAAACACTTATGAATTTCTCACTAAAGAATATGTAAATATCGAAAAGTGTTTTGGAGAAAAGTTCCCCAGACCCTTCTACGAAACATTACATATTTAATGACCATATAAATGAACACAACAAGAAACATTTGAGGTTCCTAAACAATCTGTATTAGTGAGATTGCCTTATATAAAAACACGCTCTGTATATAAGAATAAAATAATACAATAAATGGCTAAATAGTGTATGCTTAGATCAAGATCATTACAGATATACAGACAAGAGATGCAAGTAAATATATTGGATTTGCTGTTTTCATTTGCACACCAGGTAGCTACGGACCTGAGCAAGTGACCATGCATATACCAAAGCGCCTATTAGATCGAATATACTAAAAAATGTAGGTGTTACGGTGTTGTCAACTGAAATTACTCTATGGTTTTAAATAAAGTTAATGATGAACACAGTTTTCGTGCAGAAAGGTGTGTTCATGAAGAAATTGAGGTCACAACTCACTCAAGTGTGTATAGCATGTAACTTAACTGAAGATATAACGTAAGATCGCTTTGTTCCAGTAAAATGAAATATAGACATAATAAATGCATGTTAATATCTAAAGTTAACTTATATATCACTTGTTTACAAACGTGGTGGTTAAAATACTTTAACAAATTAATGTTATGGCTTTCAAATGTACAATTAATTTTAGTAACCTGTGATCAAATGTTGTGATATCGTTAGTAATTAATGAAACTGTCTTTTGCCGAATATCAAACAACAGGGCTAAAACTAAACTTGTTCTGTTCTGAAAACTATTTGAATGTACGTAGCTTTTAGATAATGAATCTATAAATAGACTCGAGGCAAGCAGTAACAGAAAAAAATCAAAACTAGTGGTTTGAATTATACTTTTACTCCGTAGTCTTGTATGTAAAAAACAATAACATGAAAACCAGAACATGAGTATAAAAAACACAAACATAACAGTTTTAATCAGAATGTTGGAAACATTCTACTAATATACGCTCAAAACATTAGGTCCTGAGTAGGCTGGTGTAGTTGAAAGATTTCTGTTAACACAGCTTTGTGTATATGGGTTACTTACGTATTAAATAATAAACACTAATTAATTAAATAGGAAAAACATATTGACATATCTGAACAATACTGCAATATTCTTTTGTCATTTCTTATCGTTTTATATTGAACATATTTTGTTGAAGTCTCTAGATCAAGGTTTCAACAGTTCTTTTATGATAAAAAATCGTACTAATATTTTTCCGGGTTTCAAAGCTCGTCACATTGAAAGAATAACGCAGAGTTGGCATGTAATGTTGAATAAAACGTTTAATGAGTTTATAGTTCGGTTATTGGAGGAACGCAGTTATTCCTTTTAATACTTTTGCATCTCTGAAGCTTAAAACTATATAAAACTCTGAAAATTAGGGACATTTTCTTCATGTAGGTGACACAAGCATAAACCATATATATTCTATGAAAAATTGGAACAGAATCTCGCTTGATCTGTTTCATGTTTAGAAAGTATGATGATAAGCAAGTGTAGAACATGGAACAAATGCTTAATTTATAAAGTACATTTAATTTGCAAATGAAAGTGCAACAACTAAAATGCATTATATCACGTATGTGTTACAAGGCCATGGATTGATTGTTTGTTTTGAATTTCGCGCAAAGCTCCACGAGGGCTATCTGCGCTAGCCGTCCCTAA